TTTTCGGCCGCTCTATACGCAGTAGGTAAACAGATAGCGCTGTAAATCCGTGCGCAGCGTTGTCGCGTCCTAAGCCTAGGCGGGGCTGCAGTCATCGAAGGCCACGGGCAGAGAGAAAGCATGAAGGGAAGGGAGATGGGAAGTAGAGGGGGAGGGGGTTCAAAGGGAAGGAGACGAAGCTCTCAGAGCAAAGGGCGAGATAATATGCATACTGGTACACATGCAGCGCAAGAAAGGATGAGGGAGAAAAGGGGGAGGGAGAGAGAGAGAGAGAGATAGGACACATCGATAGGATCGAAGAAAGATCACGGGGGAATCAATAAGATCAAACCCGAGAACCGTCACAATCGACGACGTGGACTCACCAAGAAAAAATGAAGAGGGGGTCGCTAAACTGACGGAAACACCTCCCTCACCACTAAGAGGGTCACCAAAAGCTGACGACCACCACCTGGGGAACTGCGGAGATAAAGCGAAGAGGAGAGGTTGGGAATTCTGACGACGGAGCGGCCGCCCGACTCGTTAGTCCCCTTTGCCGAAAGTGAACCGACCAGAAAACAACCAAATCGCTTTCTATTGGAGTCGCGCTAGTGATAGCAGGAGCACGGAAGAGATGACAGGTGTTGGTGGGGAAACAAAAGAGTTAGGGGCAGGCGGAGGGAGAGACAGAGTGATAGAGACGCACACACAGACATACACAGACAAACAACCATTTGGAGATCCTGGAGAGACAGGGGGGCACGTATGGAAAACGGGCATATATATACTCCATATATATAGTGAGAGAGAGAGAGAGAAAAAAAAAAAACATGTTGAGCCGCTCATATACATATATGCACATCTATAAAGGCATCACACATAAACCAAATATTGTTGGTTCGCTTGGCTTCGCCGCAACAAATTGTCCCTCATCCGCATCCTTTTTACGCAGGAGCGAATGCCGCATCCCACAAGAGTATATCAACGACAGAACGTGGAGTGCTCGTGAAAGTGATGGCTTCAGGGTAGGGTATGTTTTCATGTGTGTCGTGAACTTGACGGTTTGGGCGGGGTGGGTGTTTTGAGGTCTCAGGGGGTGTATTACTGCTGGCTTGCGCACAGCACGTATCACGCGTCACGGTTTGTAGTTACGTTGATGGTCGTGCTCGTGGTCGTGCTAATGTGCGTGCTGGAAGTCGTGTCCGTGGTTGTGCTAGTGGTCGTGCTGCTGCTCATGCTGGTGGTGATGCTGGTGATGGTGCCAGCGGATGGTCGTGCTGGTGTTTGTGCTCGTGGTCGTAGTGGGGTCATGCTGGCGGTTCGTCGTGCTGGCGGTCGTGCTGGTGGTCGTGCTAGTGGTCGTTCTAGTGGTCGTGCTGGGAGCGCGGGGCCACCAAGGGGCCGCACCAATTGCTGATTCACGTCGACGGCTGATTATTTGATCCAGGGGCCAAGATCGGGGACGGTGGCCGCTTCTGCCAGCTTGCGCCGGTGAAGTAACCCTTCTGCCGGGGAACAACGCAGGCGGCGCGCCCAGTGGGCAAATGAGAAGGGGCGGGCCTTCTCAGAAGACTCGGAAGTCCCACGGCCTTCCGAGAAGTTTTCTAAGCCTTCCCCGAAGACACAGAAAACTTCTCAGAAGGCGCGAGGGCTTCTGAGAAGTCCCGCCGCCTTCTGAGAAGGCCTTCTCCTTCTCATTTCCCCACTTTCGGGGGCGCACAAACATGGATTAGCGATCCATGGATTTGGCGCGCGGTCGCCAAATCCATGGATCGGGGGAGGTGCCCTCCCCAAAATGCGGCCGGTGCTGCCTCGCTTGGCGGCGGAAATCCGCGGTTTCCTGTGGAAACAGTACCTGTCGCCAATCCACGCCCCCTTAATCCATCTTTGCGATCGCCTGACACTTCGCTCGCCGCCGAAACTCCTTCTCCCCCTCCCTCACCACCCTACCTCGCCCCCTTCCCCCCCGAACTCCGACCCGCCAGCGCCTCCTTCACGGCATGGGCACCCCGAGCTCTCGGCGGCATCCACGGGGCCACTCTCTTTCGCCGTGGCCCTCGGAGCGGCCAGAACTCTCGACCCCATCCTCCTCTTTTTCTTCCTCCTCCTCCTCCTCCTTTTCCTTTCCTCCTCCTCCTCCTCCTCCTCCTCCTCCTCCCCCCTCCTCCTCCTCCCTCCTCCTCCTCCTCCTCCTCCCTCCTCCTCCTCCTCCTCCTCCTCCTCCTCCTCCTCCTCCTCCTCCTCCTCCTCCTCCTCCTCCTCCTCCTCCTCCTCCTCCTCCTCCTCCTCCTCCTCCCGCCTGGAGGCTTGTGGCTCGTGCGCCTCGGACCGTCGGTTCGTCCCACAGAGTGCCTCTCGACGGCCCCAGGGACCAGGAACGCGGCCCTGGACGCCGAGGTGCAGCGAGAGCACTCTCTGGCGTGAGTTCCCGAGGCGCCAGGAGGTCGGGGCAGCCTCCCTCGGCATCGGCCCCCCGAGGAGGTCACACAGGAGGCCCAGCAGCGAGAACGGCCCGCAGAGG